TACGGAATTTGTTACAATATTATTTCGCTCTGATTCTCAACGTTCGTGCTCTAATTTTAATATCGTACACTCACAATCGAGATTTTACAATTCTTCCTTTTTACCAATATTGTTGAATTCTCACAATTTGTTCTTCACAAACGGTGACGACGACGGACGACGATATTCATAAATCTACTTCCGCGAGAAGTTCGTAGTCAGATTTGGTCCGCGAAGTTGCGAAATCGGACTAGTCGAAATTGGTTCGGAACCGAAACTTACGATTGGAACGTCAAGGAAAAGAAGGGTATGTGGCAGCGGCAGTGGAATTCTGGTCACGCAGTCAGCATCTCTTGGGGAACATACTTTCTAATATGCTGGCAAGGATAGCTGGTTAACATTATACTTTTTCATTCTTTTACACGAAATTCGGTGTAACGTAATAATTGCACCTGATATACTGACACATTCTTCGTGTTCTCAATGAATTTTTTCAAAATACGATCTCTGCTCTCCTCCAGAGATTAACTATCGTATAAGAAAAAACAGTAGATCAAATCCTCTATCAAAAAGTGCACTAATAATTAACTCTTGCCCTTGGAGTGGAGTTAGAAGGAAATTGCATAGGACCTCTTTCGTATCTGATAACTACAGCTATATATCAATAACAATCTGTCCAACTCATGACTGTATACATAAAAACGTGGTACATAGTGTACGTGCCCGTTCAATAAAATATTATTGTTAAATACTCTGTGAATGAAAATGATACACCGTGCTACGACAATAAATGTCTCTTGAGAAAATAAGTTGTCATAATTGGATTCACGGTCTAAACATTTAGCAGATTGCAGATTGCCTAAGGGACAGGATGAAGATCTTTAAGGCAAGTTGAAACGAAGTTCTCCGTAGTGTTGGGAACGGTGTCGCGTCGATGCGGCTTGACTGCACGTCGCGTTTCATTTTGAGAATCACGGAGGCGAGTTAATGCGCTTTTAACGTTAAACCGGAAACTTTGATTATAAACCAAGTTCGCTCAGGGTCACCGGTATTAACGTTACCCAGCCAGCCAACCGCTGGCCCGTTAGTACATAGTTTTGTAATTGTAATATCGGAGTCGCGTTGCAAACGTTGCGGCGCGGTCTCAAATCCGTTGATTCCCGGCTATCCGAGCCGAAATTCAATTCATTAGTGTATTAACGAGGTTTCGATTCGTCTTCCCTGGGGTTTCTTCAATAAGAAACACTGTGGGAATCATGGCAAATTGAAATAACCAGTGCGAAGTTGGTCAATTTTAAATAAAAATATTAAGGATGTATTGGCTATACAGTCAATCCTAAAAGTTTATGTACCTTAGAAAAACGCATTTCTTATAATTAAAAAGAAATCAG